AAATGGCTTGGCCGTACGGCTGACCTGTCGGTTTTACTCAAAGCCCTCGACGAGGGCTAAAAAGTGACCGCGAGTGAAATTCTCTTTATATGAGCTCTATTACGAAAAAAAATTTCCTCCGACGACCCCCCTTGAAATTTTGTGAGGTGGTAGGAGAACGCCTCGGGGTGTCACAAAAAACTCGCCATGTCCGGGAAAATTCGTTAAATGGGTCAAAACTTACCAGTCGTATTTCCGTATATAATCTTTGTATTTTATGGGAAAAACAGAGGGTGATTTCAAAACGGATTTTAGGGCACTTACTGTCTTAACATCTGGGAAATTTTTTGTACACACCTCTATAGATGACTACGCCGTAAGGAAAATCTGTTGGTCAGACTTAAAGCCCTCTTAGAGGGCTAAAATAACTGCGAATGAAATTCTAATTATACGATATTTGGTCTATGAACAGGGGAGGTAACTTTTTAATGTAATAATTTTTAAATATTTTGTATACTCTTTTCAAGAAAAAAATCAAAAATCATAAAGTATAACATTGTTTTAAATAAATATTTTGTTATAAATTAAGTTTTGCATTGTACTGAAATTGTAAAAATTAATTGCGAAAGTAATGTATTATAATATTTGATTGATACTATTAAGAAATCCCTTGCAGTTCTAATAACCGTGCGAGTAATAAGTTTGCGAATATTCCAGCTTTATTTGAGTAACATGAAATTTCTCCACTGTATAAATTTTGGCCCTAAGCATTTAACATAGCAGCCAATCACCTATTAATGAATTATTTAATTTCTCTTTTTTTTTTTAAACCTAAGCGAAGCTAGGCAGTATGCCTAGTATATATATATATATATATATATATATATATATATATATATATATATATATATATATATATATATATATGTATATATATATATATATATATATATATATATATATATATAGAGAGAGAGAGAGAGAGAGAGAGAGAGAGAGAGAGAGAGAGATTATATAGATTATATATTTATATATATAGATTAGGCCCTTCTCTGGCACTTATGAAAAACCTTTCTGTTAAGAACCATTACCTGTGTGTTTAGTAATTATCATATATCCTACATTGCCCACCCTAACCAAAACCAACCAAAACAAAAACAAAACGCAAACTTAACGCAAGCATGATTACAAATACAAACGAAAACAAAAACCTAACAACGAACCCAACAAACGAAAAAGCAAACGAAAACAAACCAAATCCAATCGCAAACCCAACCACAACACAACACAACACAAAATAACACGAACACAACACATAGCTTCTTGTAGTTTGGGACAGGTGTGTTTAAAAGAGCTTTCTGGTGCGACCGACTTCTTCTTCTTCTTCTTCTTCGTTCTTAATTATTAGTGTTGAAGGTGATCGAGATTTATCTGCCAGTGGGTTTGAACTCGAGATTTTGTTCGAATTTATCAACCATGAGCTTTTTGCCGACTCGACCACGCCTCCAACACAATTAAGCGTTACGTGTCAATTGGTTATGCGCCATTGAGGCCATTGACTCCGATTTCAGCCTGCTTTCTTTTTGGATTTGCTTCCATAGCCTTTGTCCAACCAAGAACAAACTACAAGGCAGCAGTTGTTTATTTTTGGAGTTGTCTCTCCTAGAAGGGTGGCTGTCCCCAGCTAACGAGCCTCATCTGCCCGAAGGTTCGAACTCGAGACTTTTCGGTTTAGCAACCATGAGCTTTACCGACTCGACCACGCCGACCCCCAAAAAACACCGACAAAAACAAACTCCCCATTTAGCTCAAAAAGGAGAGACAAAACCAATGCGCAAAAAGACACAAATGCTAACAAAATTAATCAGTTTTTAAAGAGCCACAAGTCAATAGTATGATATTTGTTTAGGATATATATATATATATATATATATATATATATATATATATATATATATATATATATATATATATATATATATATATATATATATATATATATATATATATATATATATATATATATATATATATATATATATATATATATATATATATATATATATATATATATATATATATATGAAACTGATGGTGCAAAATGAAAGAGAAATATTTTCAGGAAAGACAAAGTAACATTACACTAGACAGGGGTCGGCAACCTTTTGAGACGAAAGAGCAAAAAAGTTAAAATTAACAAAATGAATAGGTTTTTAAAGAGCCACAAACTTTTTTACGTCAATAGTATGATATTTGTTTAGGATATATATATATATATATATATATATATATATATATATATATATATATATATATATATATATATATATATATATAATTATGTTTTAGTATAGCTTTATCGCTTTCGACTGTTTATTCATTATGGTTGTATTTAGCACTAGACTTGTTAACTGTTGAAGGTTATGCTTTATGTATTACATCTTTGTATTCTCAGTTTATTTTACTAAATCTGGTTTTATTTTTGCGAACAGTTTTAAAAGTAGAAAAGATAAGCTGTACTCTTCTTCAAATTAAAGACAGTTTGTAGATACTTGCATTTTGAACATTGTTCAAATAACTCAAATTACTCACTATAAACTAGCTAGTTGCACACATAATTTTTTAATTGATTAAAATCACAAAATAACGACAGGGTTGATGTAAGGAGACTAAATACTGCAAAACGATACCAAACTTATGTTATTAGTATAAACGGTTTTCTAGATATGAAGGATTTAGTGAAAAAAATTGCGGGGAAAACTAAGCCTTTGAATGAGAACAAAAATTGTTTACGTCGAAAAACGGTTAATTAACAATGCGGAAGATTAGAATTTGAATTAGATTTGTTAATAAAATGAAAAAAATAATAATAATAGACGTCAGATGATCAGAAAAAAAAAATGTTTCAAAACCACTCTAGTCCATAAAGTGCGATTTTCTCAAAACCAAAAATTTAGATATATTGCATTTTGAAAATAAACTTCATAAATAGATTGAGCCTGACAATTTCAGCAGATGCTACGATCTATATCCAGCAAGAATAAAACAAACAGCAGATGCACAGGCGCCCAAAAACAGACATTGTCATAAAAAAACGCTTCACACATAGCTGACATTGTTACAACTGTAGTAAATATCTCGCTTCCCCCCCCCCCCCCCCCTTCCAGATAAGTTTTGGAGGCATTAACATAACTTAAAATTGAAATAAAAGTACACACTAAATCAGGGGTCTCCAAACTACGGCCCGCGGGCCGGATGCGGCCCGCGAGGTCCTCTCGTCCGGCCCGCGGAGATCTTTTTGTCCACGAAAAAAACGTTTGTTGGTGATGGCTGAGGAACTTTGCTCAGAAAAATCAAAGACATGCCTGGAAGAAACTGGCCCCCGAACTGAAATTTGATAGTTAATGCGGCCCTCGGACTGAAAAGTTTGGAGACCCCTGCACTAAATAATCGATTTCTTTGGTAATGTTAAGTATTTCAAGCTACACATCATGTACTATTTAGTTTAAAATCATCGAAGGCTTAAAATCTACTTTTTAATGGTACCAGCTTATTACTATACGAGCCTTTTTATTATCGAAATTATGAAGTGAAAAGCTACTAGTCTGTGTTTGGGCGACAAATCCGTTTTTCTAAGGCAGGTTGACATACCTATTATTAGTTAGTTATTGAAAATATTAAACAAAACATTTTCCCTCTGTAAATTTTAGAGTTCGTGTCACTCTCATCCCCGGTTGATAGCTTTTAAGTTAGTCTTCAATTGATAGTAACTGTAACTATGTTTATCTAGGCCTATAGCCAGATAATTATTTTTTCTATAGTTACCTGTTTACGTCATTTCGACATAGTACCAAAAGACTTAAATTAAATGTAATTAGTCATAATTGAACTGGCAAAAAGTATTTTTCTATACAATATGACAATTGTTTTGTCTTGGTGACACCTCGTGCAGTTCGATACTCCCCCCCCCCCCCCAGGATGTCCCTGAGTCCATCCAGTTATGTTGAATACCTGTATCTGTGTATCATAATAGGGAATGTAGGCGGCTGGGCTAGTGCTGACCAAATTTATTCCTTCATATGCTGAGTTCATTGAAACCGGTGGTGTACTTCACCTGCTACAGGGATCACCAGGTTCATAAGGGTAATTCTTTTCTTTATAAGTGTTATATAGTATTTTAAAACGATAAGTTCATTTGTCACTTCAAAAATATGAAGCAGAGGATGAAGCGCTGACACTTGAGACAAAATCATAGAACATAAGCCAAAGAAGTCGGCTGAAGCTCCAACCAGCTAAAAGGAACCAATTTTGCTGGTCAAAATTGTGGATTGCATTTCCCTAAAAAAACTTTTCACCAGAAAGCAAATTTGCTTCCAAATCAAACAAGATTTTGTTTCTTCTAAGAGGTATGCCTACCTCTTAAAAATGCAAGGTTATAAAGATGTTGGTAATCTATCGTTTTAGCGTAATCAATTCGGCTGCAGTAGTAATGTGCGGGAGTGGTAACTGATGAATATATTTGTTTAAGTAAGTTTATTTAAGTCAAATTTTACAAAATATAACAGATAATTGACTAAAAATAACAATCTGTGACCAAAACAATTTAAAATAACATGAAACTAACTTTAAACTAGGTGTTTGAGATACATATTAGTCGAAAAAACAGCAGCCATCTTTCCAAATAAAATTTAGAGTAGTTTCCCTTGATAAAAATGTCTATTCGTATGTATATTGTGTTGACTTTGTTGTTTAATATACTTACCTGTCTTGTTTAATATAAGTAGGGCAGAGGTCCGTCTTCTTTAATTTCAAGTGAAATGAAGGCTATGTATGTATGTAGGCTACATCCAAGATCTCAAAAAAAATTTGGGATGTCCAACATTTATTAATTCCTTTTGTACTGATTAACTTGTCAATTATTAGGTCGTCCATATTCCTCATAAATGACGTTGGACTCAAAATATGGGACGGTGTAAAATATTTTTTCAAAAATGATGAAGAATATATTCGTTTTCGTTAGAAATTGTGATAAAGGATTCGGGTATAGTAGAACTGCGATATGATATTAAATCATCATCTTGCTTTTAGTAACTATTGGGTGAGAGGGAAATCATCAGGAAAAGTATGACGTCATTTATGGGCAATCCAGTTAATGAAGCCTAGTTGTTTATTTTGTCTGTAGACTTTAGTCTTAGGCCTACACTTTTCCTGAATTAAGATTATTGTGTTTATTAAAATACGTTCAAATTTTTATTAGTTACATTTGAATACCACATGGTTTTATTTTTTTAGCGCAATTTCCATTCTGGAGAATTGCGTTTATTAACCCGTTATTTCTGGATGTATGAATGGATGTGTGTCCGCAGCTTTAAGTCGTATCTCCTCCTCAACGAAGCAATATCGAGGACTAGTTCCAAAGAAATTATGTTAAGCAAGTTACGAGGATGAACATAGGCCAAAAAAATTCCGGGTTTCTTTCATGGATTTCCAGGAAAAGCCAAAAAACCTCTGGAAAATGCCGTTTTTGGCTCATATCTCGGCAACCAGACCACTTAGCGACATGTACCAATCGATTCCTGCCATAATTAAGAACAATATTGCCGAAGAAAGTTTTCAAAAATATGCTTTCGTTAGGTCACAATTTTTTTTTAATTAATTAAAATTTGGACCGAATTAGTCGGCATTTTTATCCAACCACACCACACGCGTCATCACGTTCAATAGCTGCGCCATCACGTTCAATGGCTGCGTCATCACGTTCAGTAGCTAGGCGCGCAATGGTTTTTAGTCATGTAACTCTATTTTAAATAAAACATGTATTTTAACCAATGTTTACTAACCCTGCTCTTGATTTACGCTACGACAGAGCTATTTTTAGATAACATAAGGAAATTGCGCTAAAATTGTCACTAGACTTTTTAATTACCTTGTTTTTTGTTTTTTTTTGCTTTGCCTTCTGCTGTCATCAATTTTTGATTTGTTCAATAGTCAATGTTTACCCCTCCCCACCATTCATTATTACAAAAACAAATAAACCGGGAGTGATCTCCCCTAAACTTTCTCGAATATTCTAATATAACACTACGGGGGATGGCAACTCGGGATATAGACTTCTAGACATGATTTTTAATCCATTTTAAATACTCAAACTTTTAAAAATAGAATATAATCTCGTAGAAAAAAGAAATGCACACCAAGTGAACGCTAAATAAAGATGTGCATAATAGTGCGCAATATTATTAGTACTTTATCAATTTACATGCGTTTTTTGAGAAATCAGAAATAGCGTAAATAAGTACTTCCAGGTAAACGGAAATTACTCAAAATTTGAAAGAACGTAGAGAATTAGATCTTTTACTTACATATCAAATTTCATTTATCTATCTGAAATAGTACTCAAGTAATAAGCTTTTGAAAAATTCAAAGTAGAAAAAGTACCACTTCCGGTTTTCGGAAATCGCTCAAAAGTTGATACGGATCTACGATTTTGATAAAATACTTATGTATGAAATTTCATCAACCTAGCTGTAACGGTACTCAAGTTATCGTGTTTACACACGGACACACACACACACAGACACACAGACATACGGACAAAATTATGTTTTTCCGTATCAGTGAGATGTAAAACGTCGAGATTTGCAAAAATCTCAATTTTTTTTTGCACGATCACAAGACTTTATCTATACTTCGTATATACGAGAAAGTAAAAATACCCACTATATATGTCAATTAGACTAGACTAGTAGAGGTTACTGAGGACAATATAAACTTGACGGTAGACGATTTGGTGCGAGAGCATTGTGTGCGTTCAATAAAATATTTGTGGCGTGAGCATCAAGGGACATCACTCATAACAACATTATAAATATAAGACTAATACAAGAAGAGTGAGTTCCCTTGACTTCACAATTCTCAATATATTACACGTTCAAATCTTAGATCTAAATCTAGTAATAATTATCAAAAATGTCATCGATGCAACGGTCCCCATGCATCTCATCGATGCAAGTTCAAGTCAGCAACTTGTTATAAGTGCAGTAAGCAAGGTCACATTGCTAAGGCCTGCTTTGCAAAGTCTTCGTCTGTTGCTAAATCTAGCCAGTCAAGACAGTACCGCAACCAAAGGCAGCACTATGTTAACTCTCACCAAGACTACCTAACCCAACCAATGAACCACTCTACCTGTGAAAATGCTCAAACTGATTCGCAGCCGGAGTTCAACCTGTTCTCTGTGAAATCAACAAGTCATGCTCCCATCAATGTACCAGTTTATATCAACGGTAAGAGCATCATCTTCCAACTTGACACTGGAGCATCTCTAACTGTCATCACAAAGAAGGACTTTGACGCTGTCACAGGAGGATCAGTGCCTCTACAACCATGTCACAAGTGCCTAACAGCATACACAGGTGACAATGTTCCAGTGATAGGAGAGTGTATGGTTCATGTAAGTTATAATGGTCAAAGTGTTAAACTTCCTCTTTTTGTGGTTGAAGGAAATGGACCACCATTACTAGGTAGGAACTGGTTAGTTGATCTTAAGTTAAACTGGGAGAGTATATTTTCAGTGAACAAAGCAAGAGAATCTAGTTTTACTACAATAGATACAGTTGTATCCGAAAATGAAGGTGTCTTTGGTAGTTCAGGATTACTAAATGATAGAACAGTGAAGATAAGCATTAAAGACACAAATCCAAGATACTGCAAAGCTAGAGTTCCACCTTATGCAATGAGGAATAAAATTGAAAATGAGCTAAGTAGATTGGAATCTAATGGCATCATAAAGAAGGTAGACTATTCCGATTGGGCAACGCCCATTGTACCAGTGTTAAAGAAGGATGGTTCTGTAAGAATTTGTGGAGACTATAAAGCTACACTTAATAAGCAAATAGAGCTAAATAGGTACCTAATCCTAACATTGAGGAAATTGCTTTGAATTTGGCAGGAGGAGACAAATTCACTGAATTAGACTTTAGTCATGCTTACACTCAACTAGAACTGCATCCAGATTCAAAAGTCTATACGACAATAAACACACATAAGGGACTCTACCAATATGAAAGACTATTTTTGGTATATCATCTAGCCCTGGAGTTTTCCATGCTGTCATGGACAGTATTTTTCAGGACATTCCAAATGTTTGTGTTTACTTTGACAATGTGTACATAACTGGTAAGAATGGCACTGAACATCTTAAAACACTTGATAAAGTCTTGAAAATAGTTGGTGAAAAGGGTTTAAAGATAAACAAAGATAAATGTCAATTCATGCTGACAGATATTAGTTTTCTTGGTTATATATTGAGCAAACAAGGTCTCACACCTCAACCTGAGAAAACAAAAGCCATTAAAGAAGCACCCAAACCTGAAAATACCCAACAGCTAGGAGCTTTTTTGGGCTTGATAAATTACTATGCAAAGTTCATAGGGAATCTGTCTGGTAAATTATCACCACTGTACAAGCTGCTGCAGAAAAATGCAACTTGGCACTGGGATAAACAACAAGATGCTGCTTTTAATGCAGCAAAAGAAGCTTTGTCGTCTGACACCTTACTAACTCACCATGACCCAGGGAAAAGACTTATCTTAACATGTGATGCTTCACCAGATGGTGTAGGAGCAGTCTTATTATCCCCAAAATGTTACAAAATGAAGTTTTAAGAACTTTACATGATACTCATCTTGGTTCTTCCAAAATGAAGAGTCTTGCACGATCGTGATTCTGGTGGCCACATATGGATGCTGATATTGAAAAATATGTAAAGCTTTGTTCAAGCTGTGCACAACATTAAATTCAACCAGCTACAGCACCTTTGCAAAACTGGGACTGGCCAATCAAACCATGGAAACGTATACATTTAGATTTTGCAGGACCCTTCATGAACAAAATGTTCTTAATTGTTATTGATTCACATTCTAAGTGGTTAGAAGTTAAAATCATGAACACAATCACTGCAAGTGATCCCATTATAGAAATTTAGGAAATATTTTCAACTCATGGATTAACAGATCAAATTGTTTCAGATAATGGGCCTAGTTTCACTGCTCATGAGTTTAAACTGTTTTGTGTAGCAAATGGTATTGAGCATATAACTACATCACCCTATCACCCTGCTGGGAATGGTTTGGCTGAAAGAGCGGTAGGCATATTCAAAACCGCTATGGTAAAAATGAGTACCGGTAACAAATTTTCTCTCAGGGAAAGAGTAAACAGGTTCTTAGCCAAATACCGCACAACTCCTCATATAACAACAGGTGTTGCACCATGCGAATTGCTGTGTGGTAGGAAAATTAAAACTCACCTTGACCTACTACATCCAACTGTTCAAAGGTCTGTTTCCCAACATCAACATACACAAAAAGTAAATCATGACAAAACATCCATTGAGAGAGAATTTGGAGTTAATGATAATGTGTATCTGAGAAATTATGGGAGAATGGAATAATGGATGCCAGGTCAAATTGTTCAATGTACAGGACCTGTGTCTTATAAAGTAAAAACAAATGATGGCCTTGTTGTCCGTAGACATGCAGACCAGTTAAAAATAACTTGTGCAGATAATAAGTGTGAATCTGTCAATCCCACCAAATCTGACCAGTTCACACCTGCTCAGTTTGTTCCATATGTTCTGTTGATATGAGTGAACCAAGTACTCTAGAGTCAGAAAATGTAAATTCTGGAATTAATGATTTAGATCCTAGACTTCCTGAGCTAGAGAGTCCAGATGGTCAGAATCTTGAGTCACCAAATCAAAAGCCACTGAGAAGGTCAAACAGGACAATCAAAGTCCCAGATAAGTTAGACCTATGATTTTTAAGGTCAAGAGGACTTTGACATCATTGTTTTGTATTTTAATTATGTTGTAGTATATTTTGCATTTGTTTGTAAGGGTGTAATCTACCAAATGATTCAAATCATATAATGTTCATGTTACAATATATTTGGTGATTTTAGGATACTATCATTTGTTCTATTGAGAGCTGTGTTGTTGTTTACTAAGGGTAAAGGGATGTAATATATTGAGAATTGTGAAGTCAAAGGAACTCATTCTTCTTGTATTAGTCTTATATTTATAATGTGGTTATGAGTGATGTCCCTTGTATGTGTATGTCATGTGACTTCCTGTTCCGTCATGGTAGCTGAATAAAAGTCTAGATACAATCAACGTGGCTCTATCGTCCAGTGTATAATAATAGAAACATCAATCTATAACAGTTTAAATCTTTATCTGTCGTAATCTGGTATTTTTATATCTGTAACACATGTTTGAATGTGTTTTATATTTGTTTGAAAAGTGTCAGTTACGTCAACAAATTTCACCGTTCTGCAAGTACCGATCGACCCCACACTTTCATTTGGTTGCGGCTTCGCGACGAAGCATCGTAGAAGCATAATCTTAATGTCATTTTAAAGAGCGAATTCTAGTCTATTGTTTGATGTATAATTTGAAAAAATAATTTGCTTATTTCATTTTTAAAAAAATCAGTTTTTAAACTTTAAATGACGATATATACACGAAAACAAACTAATTCTGTTTCAATTTTTACACCGATGTAAAGTTCCCCTTTATAACTACTTTGTGTTTTAAATTCAAGTATTTCTGATTTACGGTCGCGAAGCCGTGCCCTCAATAAGCATGTAACACGAGTCAACTTTTAGCCCCGGGTGAGTTGCTCGTCGAAAGATTTTAAAGCTTGACGACCGATGATGCTAAACGGATTTTACCCTTGCTAGAGCAAGTTACTGCAAAGTGTGTAATATATATGCCCATTTTTTTTCAGTCATCTTAAATGAGTCTTTCTAAGGTAAAAGAATAATTGAAAATGACAAAAATGCGTTTTGGTCACTTTTTTTTTGTTGCTTTGGACATAGAATAACTCTAAAACCATTGTGTTGGTAACATTAACAGGAAGAATGTGTTTATTATTTTTAAAAATCACATCAGTTAAAATATTTTTTTTAAAATGCCACAGTTATCTATTGCAGGAGAAACAGAATCAGAATTTTTTGAAAACCGCAAAAACTGACCCTAAAACGCACTTTTTCTCCAGTTTGGACTACCTATTTTTTATAAAATATTAAATGAAAATAGCAAACAAACAATAACACAAACAATAAAAATTAACTCAAACTAATATTTAAATAAACATTAGATATGTAGTGGTAGCTCTATAAAAATAGGGAGTTTCTTAATGTATAAAAGTTGCATCTCATAATAATAATTCTACAACTAATGTTTATTGTCAGTCAATGAAATTGTTTAAAGGGCAGAATTAAAAAAACAAAAAGAAAACAACGCATGCTTTGTATTTAAACACAAGACCCACGTATTTAATAGCAAGCATCAATACATTTCAATACAAATAGAAATTAAACTTAAAGGGAAATGACTCAAAAAAATATTTTCTTAAGATGGCCGCTGTTTTTAATAGCAAATTTAGTATCTGGAACATCGTTGTTAAACCTTAATTTCGTGACATTTTTATTGATTTAACCCTTAAATGTGGTTTAATATTCAATTATCTTTAGTAGAATATGCAAAAATATGTATTTACATTTAAACCATATTTATTAGTTACCTTATCCCTACATTCGACATTACTAGTGACGGCCGAATTGATTACGCTAAAGTGCGGCTAAAGCGATAGATTACCGATGTTCATTGAAAATATATCTAAACACATTTAAAATTTCGAAGTATCTACTCGGAAGATTTTTCTCCCCAACGTCTCCACTTAGTCGGCAAAAGATAGCTCTGCGCATGCGCAGTGACCTATGGCTAGGGTTAGAATGAGGGTTAGGGGTAGGATTAGGGATAGGATTAGGCCTAGGATAAGGGATAGGGTTAAGGATAGGATTAGGGTTGGTGTTAGGGTTCTGCGGTTGTAAACACACGCATGCGCAGTACCATCGAAAACATCGCCGCTAAGGAAAGTCGTAGTTTCTCTCCATTGCGCATGCGTATCTTATTCCGGCTAGAATCGGCCTTTAAATTTCTGTCAAACTAGGCAGCTATTAAGCATATTTTATCTGTTTACACAAAGGATTATATTTTATAGACTGGGGACGTCCAAATTGCTGAACTTGTTCTTTCTCTAAATCTTCTTTTCTTTTTTCCGGGAAACAGCTTTTCTAAGTCAGGAGGCTCTATGCAGTTAATATTAAATATTGTTTCTGGATCTACACCCATCATATGTTGTCGAACAAGTGCTTTACTTAAGTGTATACCTGTAAAGAAAAAATAAATTGGAAACTGTAGCAACTTAATTTAAAAAATCTCATAGTTGCCATCTGTAGAATTTAAAACAAGGGGGGTGTTGGGAGATTGCGAGACGCGAAAAGCGAAATGGCGAGGCGGTAAAATGCGAGAAGATAATGCGAGACATACCTGCGGAATTAAGGGAAAATAGCGAGACACTTTTTGCGAAAAAAAAATGTTTTTCATGCTTTTTTCATCTTTATTTAAATTATTTTTTTTTGTTTTAAAATAAACAAGCATTTAGCCATACCCTTTAACACGAGTGTTGTATGTTGTTATTTTTTTCTAGATTTTATTATATAGATAGATACTAAGAAGATAGATCTTAGATCTATATCTAGATTTATCTATTTAAAAATCCTAACATCGTTGGTGTGCTACTGTCATCGCCCGCTCTCGTTAGCGAGAGGAAAATCCCGTCTCAGTCGGCATTAATTTTAAAAATCTAGCCCGCTCATGTTTATACAAAATTTCTATGCAATAATAAAAAAATGTTTCCGGCGGCAGCGGATCCGGGCGCGGTGATCTTCAAAGACGGTAAATCAGGCGGCCTCAGCGTTCCACACAAAAGACAGAAGTTGATCTATCGTCGGCGGTATTTCCATCGGTTTCGAACAAGGTGGTATTCTAAGTCGACACAGAAGATGGGGGAGTTGACAAACCATCAGTAAGTCTAGCGACGGAAAAATCGGGAGTTTTAACATTGTCAACGAAACGTCTTTGAAGCCTGGACCAAATACCATTAAAAAACGGGTGCGGTAAATTTTTCGCAGAAATCTTCGCATTTCAACACCACCCAGCGTAAGTATCGGGTTGTGTTAAAATGCGAGACAAAAAGTCACGTGACCGACCGTTTTCGCGCCCTTCTCGCATTTTCCTGCCTCGACATTTCGCGTCTCGCAATTTCCCCACACCCAAACAAGGGTTGTTCAAGCATGAGGTTTTGATGTTTATACACACAAATAATGTACGAATATATAGGTTGCTTAACTAAATGAGGACAAATTCTAATATCCATATCCAGTCTAACTCTTGTTTACGGTTTTCATATTCATAAATAGTTAGATATGGATTGAATGCCATAAATTATTTGCCTTGTAGTTTGTTCTTGGATAGAGAAAGACTATGGAACCGATTCCAGATAGAAAAGCAGGCTGAAATCAGCGGAGGAAATCCCATCCTACATTACAATTGAGAAAAAAGATTACCAACTACCAAATTGGTCTTGTGATGTTTTTATACAATACCAAACGAGGTTAGCATGGATTTCTAGATGATCTGGGCAGAAATGCCTTACTTTCGCATGCAAGATGTGGCCAATTTATTTTTATTTGAAGATTTCCAGGCAGTTGATCTCCTCAAATATAATGGAAATTATACTTTTGTCCATACGGCTAGATCTAGTATGTTAAAACTGACTTTTTAAAAAATGCAGTTTTTGCTCGCGTAGCACAAAAGTAGTAGCTTTTCACTTCGTATTTTAATAAAGTGGGAGTGATCTCCCATAAACTTTTTTCAAATATTCTTTATATAGTACTAATAATGTTCCGCACTATTATGCACATTTTGTTTTGGCGTTCACTTAGTGCGCAATTCTTTTTTTCTGCGAGATTCTTTAAAAAGTTTAAGTAATTAAAAATCATGTCTATATCCAGAGTTGCCATCCGACGTAGTGTTATATAAGAATATTCGAAAAAGTTTAGGGGAGATCACTCTCGGTTTATTAAATGTTAGTTTAGTCTTGCAAAATGGTTTTCTGTCACACATTACCAGACGACTGCATTCGTACTTAAGAATGTTATACTATACCAATCTGAATTTCTATTATGATTCTATTAAGTTTATTCAGCGTTGGCTATGAAAACGACAGTAGCGGCGTGAAAATGATGTCACGCCTATGTTGGTTACTTGATGGGCCTTCACAGCAGCGGGCATTGTGCTATCTTCGCATGTGCGAACGGCGGTGAGGGCCACAAGCGGTAAAAATGCTCAGGAGTTTTACTAATTAAAACAATTCTCAAGTTTAAAACTGTCTTTATTTTTTTTTTAACTGCAAACCTGGAAACTTTTAAACTCAAATTATGCGTATCAGGAAGGGAAAAAAATACGATTCTCGAATCAGGAAAAATGGGATATCTATCTATCTATCTATCTATCTATCTATCTATCTATCTATCTATCTATCTATCTATCTATCTATCTATCTATCTATCTATCTATCTATCTATCTATCTATCTATCTATCTATCTATCTATCAGTATGGGGACGGAGTGGTCTAGCGGTAGAGAGCTGGACTGCTATTGTAAGTCTCGAGTATGAATCCGGGTTCAAGCAAGTAGACCGTCCCCTGAGTCCACCCAACTCTGATGGGTACCTAACTCAATTTAGGGAAAGTAAAGGCGGCTGGGCATAGTGCTGACCACACTATCTCTTCATATGCAGAGGTCACAGAAACAAGTGAACTCTACTTCACTTGCTCTATAGACCGTCAGGTTTGAAAGGGAAGTTTTTTTAAAATATATCAGCATGCTTGCCTCATAGAACCTTTTTTCCGAAGCGATTTTGTTTTATGGGGTATGGTAGCCAACCCTTCTCAACTGGGTTTGGACCAGTGAGATGCCCCCAAAGATTTATATAGGTAGTTAGGATAAGCATGGTGCTGATATTGGATATTTTCATAATTTACATAGTTAGCCCCCCCCCCCCCCGAATTTAAATGATGTTATGTCATAAAGTTATACCCCAATCGAATCTCTCCCCTTGGCAAATGACATCAATAATGTTTTACCCTAATGCATAACAGTTTGATGTGTGTATGGTAGTGTCTTAATACCATGATAAAATTATCTAGAAATAATGTTGGACGGAATTTTCCTCCAACACAATTAAGTATTACATGCCATATAGGCCGTTAACTCTGATTCCAGCCTGCGTTTCTTTTTGGATTTGCTACCACAGCCTTTGTCCATCCAAGAACAACATACTCCAAAGACGGTAATAATTATATACAGTGAAAGAGTTTCAAAACAGCATGACTGAATATATTTCAAAATTGTAGGAAATAGCTATCTGAAATACTGAGTGAATTTATTTGGAACAATTATATTCAAAGGTCTTTATGAGCACATCTCTAATTAAATTGTAAAAACAAAATGAGCAATAGTAATATAGTTTGGAAATTACAGACAAATATAAGGAATAGTGTTGAAATATGCAGAATAATGTAAGGGGGGTGGGGGGAGGTTAAGATAAAGAAACGAATTTATAAGGTATTTGTGGGCCTAAGCAAAAGATGAAATTTCAATGAGGTAGTTTTTAAAATTGTAAAATTATAACAATGCCGAACAGTAGTTAGTTTTAATAAAGTGTTTGGGTTAGTTAAGATAGTTGGCATTGATTAGTGGGTATAATGAATAGTATTGTTGACTCAATCAACTTCCTCAGGCTGGTCAGCCCAGATGTAATAAGCTATAGCTTCTAATCTAACTACACATTTTATTTTACTTAACACAATCTTATCACTTTAAAAAGCATACCACATGCCCATTCAGGAATAGTTTTTTTGGGTGCTTCTTCATCATCTGTAGAGTCTTCTGAATCTTTGTCTTCCAAGTTGTAATTGTCCGGGTCTTTTGATGCATCATTGTATACTTTAGCAGGTGTCATGTTGTAACTATAAAATGAAAGCTTAGCCTTAATGTTTCATTAATCTTAAACTACAATAAGTCTTAATATTACTTCTAAAAAATGTAGCATTTTATTTTTACTTTAAAAAATTAACCATCTTCAGATTATACATTTAAATAATAGTTTGTAGAACTGAGATACCTTGAAGACAATTACGTTTGCATGGTCATTATAGCATCTCCACAGCAAAGAAAAAATAACTACCCCAGAAAAGTTGCATTCTGAACTTAAAACTACCTTCAAAGTATTTAGACACTTAATCAAAGAAGGGGGATGAGCATGTTTAAGTTGCCTACCAAGACACAGTATTATCAGCAGTGGATAATGATTATAGTAAAAATGGTTTACTATTAGTAAAAAAAAATGTATATAAAAAAGCAGGAAAGGTTTAAGATTTTATCAGAAAAAGTTGGCCTACAGAAAAGTATTTTTTTTTTGTTTCTAAGTAAAAAATTTCTTAATGAGGTAAAGCAAAGTTCCATCCCAAAAAATATATGCAAAATGCATAAAAATTCATTCATCTATAATAATAATCTGACTAAAAAGAGTATCTAGTAATAAAATTTTCACTCTTTAAATTTGAATTTATTTACCAATAGTATTTAATATATCCATATGTGCATTCCCCCCTCCCCCCAACTCAATTTAAAATAACAAAAGGATTTTTTAAAAATGTAGAGGGAATTGTGGCAGCATTTTAAAGACTGTTGTTACAAATTTAAAACTATGTGTTTTGCAATAAAAAATAATGGCAGTAGGTTTTATAAATATTTTTATAAAAATTGTGTGTTGTTACACATTGTGCTGATTTTACAATACTAACAAATAAGTAAAAATGCAAACTTGCAAACATAGAAGAATGTTGTAGTATTTACTTTTCAATAAAGAAAATTACCTAGCTGTATTGTTTTCTAAAGCAGCAAAAGGAACTTTTGCTGAAGGTTTCACAAGGCTACTGTTGTGTTTTTTAATCATTTGCTGCAAATGAGATTCTTCATGCAGCAATCGCTTTGCTTCTTCTTCTTGCCGCTTTAAGCGTTCTTTCTCCTGTAAATTAAGTTTTCTTCTTAACGTTAAAAGCATCAGTCAGAGTAAATCCAATTTCAATTGATTGCAGATGAATATCTTAAGAGCATAACTTAGCAGTGCAAAAAATTATATGGGAAAACATTTTGCACTGAGCATTAGGCTATATCCCACATAGCCAACAAGTTATCAATGGAGAGCTATAGTATAGTGGAGTTTAATTAAATGTATAGCTCATGCTAAATCTCCTAATCCAAAAAGGAAGGAGTAGGAGACTACTTCACATTTCTATTTTAATTTCATGGCATCTCTAGCTTTCTAATTATGTAGGCCTACTGAACATATTTAATCTCAAGTAAAAAACTAACTATTAAGACAAGTAAATGTACATGTAATAATGGGTGCAGCTGTGAATAGTCCCTATTGGTTTATAAACGATTTTAAAAATCTGGTGCAAAGCCTTTAAAATAAGTGTGATTATAAAAGCTTTATTGTGAGGTTTTTGTTGAACATTGGTAAAATTGGATGTATTTGATGTTTTTAATATTTTTGGTAACTTAATAAAATAAAAATGAAATTTTATCAGCCAAGTTTTGATTACTAATTATTACAAAGTGGGGTTTCCAGAATATCGATCACAGATACAAGGCCAATCAATGTTTGTCTTACAAGAGGTTATAATTTAGGATTGATGAAAATAAAAAGAAATGTAACCTTTAATGCAAAAAATAGTTCTCTGCATCTGAAAGTTTTATAACATTGATTAAAAATAAAGCGGGAGTGATCTCCCCTAAACTTTCACAAATATCTAATATAAGTGTGTCAGTACTTCCTTCCTTATGTCATTGGTATAGATTTTGGAACCATAAAAGTAAACACCACATGCCGCATTGTCTTATGAGTGTTGAAGTTTTCATACATCAAAAGAACGAGAATAAAATATTAAATACATGCACATTGCTAAAACAAATTAAACGGATGAATGTCAAATAATATTAACGCTTATATTCCTAGAAAATTGGATTAATTGAAAGTTTGCCCAAGGCACCAGAATGGGTCGCTCCTCTGCAGCCACACCAAGAAAGACAAATAAACTTTCATCAGCAGCCCCACTTGGGCTAACAAACTATGCAAATCTGACAGCGAAGTCAAAAATGATACACTGAAATAATACATTAATTTTATGGCCTCTGACTAAATCATTAACTTTCTGGCAAAATGTAAATTAACCATTTGACTTGAAAGTTGAAAAAAATAATTCAAATATAAATGTACTAACTTTTAAATCAAAATTTAAGCTTTGCTACTACATTACGACAACTTTAAATATCTTTACGCTAGCAAAATCACATATAATGTCATGAATTGTCTTTTCCCATAATAGATAATTTTCAACAGAAAGCAATGCAATAGTTTCCAGATTGTTTTGATGCATTTTGAGTTTAAATAATAGTTACCAAAATACAGTTTTTATGTTTATTTCTACACTATTTAGTGTGAAAAAGGCTAGAATATTTTGTAGCACCCACAAGAGGTAACCATATACTACATACTGGCAACATGTAAACAGTGATGTCTTCGATTTAAATCTTGAGAATTTTTCCCGCTTAAATGCAACAATTAGCATAGCTATTGCTAAACAAACCTTGAGAGTAATGAGAGCATCAAAATGCGACAGAACAACCCCAACAAAAGAGCCCTTGACTTCTGTGCTAACTTTTAAACAGGTCTTCATGGATATTCATTACTCATCACAATTTCTTAAGTTAGAGGCACTGCTTTTAAGAGCTATATTTGATTATGAATTGCTGTTGTTTCATGAAGTCTTTCAATAAGGTATTTAAAAAGAGATTATGGTGGTAGCGGATAAAATGGTTACATTTATACCAAGAGTGGTCATAGGATTTGCCTGGAGCCAATATATCAAGGCCATTTTGTCTGGGCTATTTTGAATGGGTCATTTTGTCAGGGGGGAATTTGTAGGAGCACTGATATAAACCATGCACGATGTGGAGTATGGGTCAAGGCGGCAGTTGCAAGTTGGGTATAAATGCAAAGAAAAATCTTACGGACTACGAAGAACTTAAAGCAGCCCTGCACTCATCCACTGCCCCATCAAAATTTTTGTATCAACTGCAACCTCTGACAAACTTTATTGACTTGATCACTTTATGAAAAATAGTGGGTATAATTGAGAGGCTGTGTCAATACGCGATCACTCTTGATGACAAGAGCTTTCCAGGCATATCTGTCCTGGGCTAGTCTCTCCAACTGTCCCCAGGTGTATACAATCTTCTTGGTGACTTCTTCCAGGTCACATCTCCAGCAGGTCGGCCTCTCCTCATCCTGCTCTGTGGATTCCAGGTGAGGGCCTGTCTTGTTACGCTGGATACAGACTTCCTGAGTGTGTGGCCGATCCATTTCCACTGGAGGATATCTACTTCAGCTGGCAGTTGATTTGTCCGTTGCAATAATACCTCATTTCTGATGGTTTTAGACTAGCGAATTCCCAGGATCTTTCTGAGGCATGAGTTACTAAATGATTGTTGTTTCTTCTTATTTATAGCAGTTATTCTCGATGACTAACAGCTCTATAGAGTAAAACAGGTTTTACTAGTATGTTGAAGATCCTGATTTTTATTCCAAGGGTTAAATCTCTAGAACCCCAAACATTTTATAGTTGGTCGAAGACTGCTCTTGCCTTGCCCGTCCTTATTTTTATGACTGCTTTTGTCCCCGCCCCGCTTATCAACAATACTTCCAAGGTAGGTGAATCTATCACTTCATCTAGGGCTTCTTCTGCCTATGTTATAGGGGTGCTGCTTGATTCATTGACTTTGAGAACTTTACTTTCCCTTCAATGGATGTTCAGGCCCAGGCATGTAGAAAAATTAGCAACACTGTTGGCTTTATCTTGAATGTGCTGTTGTGTGTGAGAAAGAAGGGCCAGGTCATTGCGCTGGCTCCAGTGTCCACGATAGGACGAATGGTGTCAAACCAAAATCAACTTTTATTTTTTGTATACTGTATATAGAGAAAAATCGCACCCTCCCATGGTGCCACCCTTGCGAACTTAAAAATGATTTTTTTACAGAACCCTTCCCCAGAGTGTTCTTTTCAACTCCCAACGTCTCATGGCTATCGGATGAACGGTGTCAAACCAAAAACGACTTTTATTTTTATATACCGTACACATAGAGAATAATCGCACCCGCCCGTGGCGCCACCATTGCAAAATTTAAAAACGATTTTTTGTACAGAACCCTTCCCCAGAGTGTTCTAATGAACTCACCAAAGTTTGATGGCGATCGGATGAATAGTGTCAAACCAAAATCCACTTTTATTTTTATATACCATATATATAGAGAAAACAAATAGCGCCTTGCCGGACGCCACCCCTGCGAATTTGAACACGTTTTTAGCGCAGAAACCTCCCCAGGAATATGCTCAACATCTTTCCATAGTTTCATGGCGTTCATGAGAACGGTGTCACCGCAATTCACTTTTATCATTATTTTTAAATACCGTATATTGAGAAAAAACGAACCCTAATTTCGCCCTTGCGAAATTAAAAATGATTTTTTTTTTTACAAAACCCTTCCCCAGTGTGTCTCATGGCTATCAGATAAAGATGTCAAACCCAAATCGACTTTTATTTTTATATACCGTATATAGAGAAAAATCGCACCCTCCCGTGGCGCCGACCTTGCAAAATTTAAATTTTTTTTATAGAACCCTTCCCTAGAGTATTATAATGAACTCCCCAAAGTTTCGTGCCTATTGGATGAACAATGTCATTGCAATTCACCTTTATTATTTTTATATACCGTATATGGAGGAAAATCGCACCCTCCCGTGGCGCTGCCCTTGCAAAATTAAAAATTATTTTTTTTTACAGAACAATTCCCTAAAGTGTTCTTATGAACTCACCAAAGTTTGATGGCGATCGGATGAATAGTGTCAAACCAAAATCGTTATGCCCCATATAGAGAAAAAACAAATTGCGCCTTGCCAGGGTGCCACCCCTGCAAATTTGAAATTTTTTTTCTTTGCAGAAACCTCCCCAGGAATATTCTCAACAGCTTACCAAAGTTTGACTAACTAGCTCATCTCGGCGTGGTGCCACAGGTATGGAAAAAAGTCTGACGAAAAATATTTGGTTTTTATCCTATATTCTGTGACCTTGTTTTCTAACACCGAGTTATTTAAATTTAAATATTTGCCTACGCTTGGATCTTATTGATCAGGTTTATTTACCTACACTACTACATGAAAACCTTGAGTCTACGTTAATCAATCACCATAAAAATGAGGTAGAACACACTTTGGGGTCTGCCCCAGATGTCAGGGACGTAATTAGGAGTTGCTGCAGGGCGCTGCATACAGCCCTGGCTTCTTAAAACTAACAAAGGCACCATAGTGCTCACAGAATAACCCAGGGCACCAAATAGCACACTGCCGGGGTGGCGGCAAACGCACCCGATTCAATTTAGTGAACTAGTATAATGCCCCATTTTACCCATAGTTTATCATACTTTTTAAAACCAGTGAAGTCACCATAGCACTAAAGAAAAAGCCCAGAGCGCCAAATTGCACCCTACTGGGTATGTTTAGTGAACGACTCTAATACTAATACCCCATCTGTTGCATAGTCTTTTGCATTTTTTAAAACGAACATAATAACAAAACATAAACACAATTAAGGATACATGTCAACTGGTTATGCGCCATTGAGGCCATTGACTCTGATTTCAGCCTGCTTTTCGGATTTGCTCCCATAGCCTTTGTCCATGAAGCAGTTGTTTTTGGAGTTGTCTCTCCTAGAAGAGTGGCTGTCCCCAGCTAACGAGCCTCAATTGCCCGGGGGTTCAATCTCAAGACTTTTCGGTTTAGCAACCATGAGCTTTACAGACTCGACCACGCCAACCCCTTTATATATATATATATCGACCCCTTATATATATATTTATATATATATATATATATTAGGTGCAATGTCCATATGTATTCTTAAGTAAAAATGTTAAAAATCACGTAATGTATATTATTTATAATTTTTTCCTTGATTGATATTGCTTATACAATAAAGCTGGTTGAATCTTCTTCAGACATGTCAGCCAAAAGTAGGAACAGGCATGCCTAAAAAGAGGTATTTGAAGCCAAAAAAAGTAACATACGTATGAATGATACTTTACTAAGTTATATACAACTAGTCTCTAGGCTACATTGAAATATTGCTTAATGTCAGCTTATATTTTTTAAAAAATGTAACCAATAACCTGACCCCCCCCCCCCAATAAAAAACAATAGCTTTGACATAACATTATTGATTTGGTCATTCTTGCCTTGCTATGTTCTAGGACAGTGGTTCCCAAACTTTTTCGAGTGGCGACCCCCTTTTATAAAAATTAAGTGACCCGCGACCAACATAGAATTTAAAAGTCGAAATTAGTAAGAAAATTAATCAGCACTTAAGTAAGATTTTCTAGTAAACTTTCAATATCAATTATTCTTGATAACTGTTTAAATACGATGAGTGAAATTCCATGCTATTAACAAACCTCAACATTCGCGGTTGAGTTTTTTAAACGCCAACCTCATGTCATTCTTAAAATTTAATTTATTTCTTTGTTTTCATTTTAATTGTAGAAGTGTTGAAAATCTATTCTCGCAAAGATATGTAGACACAAAAGGAACTAAAACTCAAGCAATCAATTTCACGTTTGGGTATGAATTGCAGCGTTATCCCCGAGCTGAAAGAAGAAGAATCTGCATAGATACCTTACCCATTCTCTGCTTCCCTTTATTTTGCGAGCATTCTCAATGAATTACAAGATGGATTCTTAAATGTGCCGAATGATTCCGCGTCAGATGAAAAACTGCTCACACAATTTTGGTGTAGTATGCAACATTCGCATTTCCAAGAAAAGACTTGATATCATCTTTCAATTCAAAAACACAATTCACATTTCTTTTGACAGCCAGCGTACTGTAGTGTAGAAAAGCAGAAACTCGTGATATTTATTCATATCTTTGCACAGTTCTTGAAACAGGCGGGTGTTCAGGTCTCCAGATTTAATATAATTAACGACTTTTATTAGCAATGGAGTTGGAATAGTCTTGCTGGCTAGGGCATACCGGTGAATCATGCAGTGGATTCCCCTGGGTTAGGGAGCTAAATTTTTTACCGTTTTCTGATAGCCCGATCTTGACCCAAACATAGATGGCGCACCATCCGTACAAACCCACAGCCTTTTTCCCATTTTTAATCATCCAGTTAAAAACTTATTTATTTTCTCCATAATATCTTCACATAATAGCAACTCTCCTTTGCTATCATCTCAATGAATATATTTCACAAAGACAAGCACCTGTGAACACAAATTCACGGCTGTCTATTCATCGACTCGAAAAGCAAACAATGGTGAAAGCTTGATTTCATTTAAAATGTGTCCATTAACATCTACGAACATGTCTGCTATAAGCCGCTGAAATGAATTAATAGAGAAAGAAATGTTTCTTGCATCTTTACTGCAATGAAATCCTCTTAAATTAATTACACCATCTTCAACATTGAGGGTTTGATGAGATTTTCTTGTATTGTGTGAGAGATTTTTTTTTCTTGGCAATTTCTAATGCGACTTCATATGATGATTGCACTAATGCTGTGTGAAAACTTCCTGATAGATCAAGTCTCTGACGTTTGCAACTAACTTCATGCCGACGAAAGAACTCCATATCTTTTTGGTGTGTTGTGAATAACTTGTCTCAAAATGACGTTTTAGTTTTGAAGGTTTCATAGACTCATGTCTGAGAAAAACTTTGCACAGTGCGCATTGTTTCTTCTCTATTATATTTCCAGGTTTAGTCTACCAGTTGGCGACCCCCCAGAAAGCCCCAGTTTGGGAACCCGTGTTCTAGGATATATGAACAACAAATCCTGAGGGCTTTGTGTGTAATATAAAATAAGTTAAGAGCTAAGACCTAGATCTAACTAGTAAAAGTCCTAGTTACTTCTTACTAAGTTCTTCATAATAGTTGTTACTTTATTTACTAGTTACAACTTACAAGATAGATCAGTATATAGTACATCTATCTATCTAGAAATTTTCTCCCTACATGTTATTTAAGGCATAATTTAAATCTACAGTTCAATTGTAAATACTAAAAAGAACATTCAGAGGCTACACTGTCCACATTAACTATTAGTAGATATAGTATTAGATTACTAGATAATACTTGTAAATATTGTAAGTAAACTAGGAAACAGAAGCGTGTGCCCTGCCTTTTTTTCAATTCGATTTATTACTTTTCTTTATTAATTGTTTTTAAAAAAAGCGGGTCAAACTTTGACACAAATGGGATAGCGGAACAGGACACGATTTTTTGTAAAAAAGCTGAACAATTTTGCTTTTGGCGGGATGGTAGGCATGTCTGAGAGTTATAATCTAAATCATCTCTTTTTCCCACTGTAAATGAACAAAGTCTGTGGACCAAAAAAGTTTGAAGAGGATTTTGGGAGGTGTTGAGGTGGAGTTTTGGAGACTGAAAAATAACACATAACACTGCTTATTAAATTCATCATTCATTCAAACACAATATGTAGGCCTAATGCCAAAATTTGAGCAAGACTAATACAACCCCCCCCCCCCCCCCCCAAAAAATTACAATCGATAGGCTCCCAAAAATAAGAATCCGGAATATTTAAAAATAGACATATAGGCTCCTAATAATATGACTCGTAAAATTGTAACTCTTGAATAAGTGCTTGTGAAGTGCAAAAAGCACAGATTATTAGAAGGACCTTTCAACCTTGGGACATATTTTGTCAGTAGTCATATTGGCAATAGCTATGTATAAGACTGTATAGTCTTATAGACCATTGGATGATTGTGCATTGAAAATCCAAGCACAAAGCCCAGGTAGTAAGATGTTGCCCATGTATCTCTCTACACAATAATGGACTGAAGGGACAGGACAATACCTGTAGAAATTGGAATCAGCAGTATCTCAGGAGCTGCCGAAAGAAAACTAGAGTAGATAATCCTATCACCTTAGGGGCTCCACTCCTGTTTCATTTAGTTTTCTCTCCTAGATGGGTTGCTGTCCCTAGCTGAAGAGCCACATCTGCCTGTGGGTTTGAACTCTGGTTAGCAACCATGTGCTTACCTGCCCGAGTTTAGTTTAAACAATATGGTGGTAACTTGCAACCAGCATTTAACTCTCAGCTGAGTTAAATATCTGTCCATTAAACAATACGTGCCCTGAGTTTGGTTTAGAAGCTGACCCCCAATAGAGATTATATTAGTTACTGTCACTTGGAGCTAGCTTTCATCCCCTAGTGACCATCTTACATTTCCCCCTGAATTATATTTGAAAGATTTAGCATTCAAATCTAGGTCAGCTGCTAAATTTACTATTTTCTAATTTGCAGTTCTAGTTCTGCTTTCTTGAAGTTTCAGTATGTAACAGGTTTAACAGGCATATCTGATTAGTAAACATTCTCTGCTACAATGAATGCACTTAGGATTTTTTAAAATGTAATGTCTAATGTGCCTGAACTGTGTAATAGTGTTTCCAGAAGAATCCACCTACAGAAAAATGGGTAAACAGACATTTGGGCACATAGAAAAACTGAAATTTAAAAAACAAATTAACTTAATATTGGGTAGTGGGCCTACTTATAAATTTAACAGAAAAAGGTATGAGTGAAAAATGCATTGTTATTTCACTGTCTTGCAAGAAGTTAATATTCTTTTTAGCTCTGCAGTATGGTTAATAAAGAAAAGGCATAGGCTCATAGAATAATTTATTACATACCATGGCCTTTAGTTTTTCTATGTCTTCCTTTATTTTTCTTTCCTTCTCATCCCTTTTATCTTTTTCCAATTTTTCTTTTTCCTGTTTTTCCAAAGCCAACTGTTTTTCCCTAAAAGGTAAAAATAAATATGCTTCAGTTTATATGCTTAACTTTTTTTTAGAATTGAAATACTGGAATGTTGTTAAATGTATGGAAACTTAAATTATTTACAGGTATTGCGTGGCCTTATGGTATAGCTTGTCTGATAACCCTTAAGTCTCGAGTTAGGATTCTAAGGACATCCCTGAGTCCACCCAGCTCTAATGGGTACCTGACTAACATTAGGGAAACAAAGGCTGCTGAGCATAGTGTTGACAACACTGTCCCCTTGTATGCTGAGGTCATTGAGACAAAAGAACTTCATCTGACCCATGAAGATGAGGTTATTTATAATATTTTTTTATCTGATTCAAAATTAATACATGAAATTTTAAAACTGCAATATTTGGATCAGATAAAAAAAAACAAGCTTCAAAATACTTTTCCAATCGAGCCTTCTCTCTCTCTTTTTCTCTTTCTTCTTCTGCTTGCCTCCAACGTAATTTTTCTTCATGGTGTTTTAGATTAAGCTCAGCTATTCTTTCTTCTTGTTTTTTTCTCTCTTCAATAACCTGTCTTTTTTTTTCTAACTCTTCAATCTCTTTTTTCCTCAGATGTATTTTTTCCTGCATTTTGGCTTCTTCTTCCTGTAAAAAAATAAATCTAGAAAGTAAGCTTATAATTTTAAAGTAACATTTCATCCAGTTCTGTAGAAATTTACCACTATTAAAAAATTAATCCTAAAAAGCTTTCAACAATAAAAATTTGAAAGGATAAATTATTTAAACTGAATCAATTCTTTCCAGTAATATAATAGTTTGAGAATAGTAAAGGAAAAGAAAACCTTGGCTAGCTCCAAAAAAAAAGTTACATGATACCTGTTCAATTTGTTTCAGCAACCTTTCTTCTTCTTCTTGTTTTCTTCGTGCATCAGCTTCCAGCTGTTTTTTCAGCCTTGGATATGGAAAAAAAAACGTGTAACAATTTTAAAACGTGCCGCTGTAGTGTGATTTTCAGCACCTCATATTGATGATAAAAATATTCAGTTTTTGGAATCTTTAATTAAATGAACAAACGAGCAGTCCAGGCCAGGCCCTACACTGGCATTTATGAAAAACTTATCTGTAACCTAACCTATCTCATCTGTAAAGGAATGTGAATGGTGTGATAATTAAGCAACAAACAACAGATGCTGCTTGTGTTTAGTTTTGAATTGAATGTCTATATGCAGATATTTTGAGAAAATATATATAAATAAACTGAAACACAAAAATAATCACTAATTTGAATTTTTTAAAAAATGTAATATTTAATCATCTACAACATTAAAGGAAATAATTTGTATAATCTGTCAGATGAAAGTATAATATTTGTACAGGATATAATACTATTTCTTATACATATTCCGTCACACTCTTTAAAAACAAATGTATGCACCATAGCGTTACCATTATCCCAGGGCTCCAAATTGCACTCTATCAGCGCCAGTGATCGTGCCGAATTCAATTTAGTGAACAACTAAACGCCCCATCTTATCCATAGTCTATCTCACTGTCTAAAACAAGTGTAGGTGCAATAGCGTAAATAGGAAAGACCAGCGCACGAAATCGCACCCTGTTGGGAGCCACCTGTTAGAAATTGAATCCCCCCCTTCCCCCCAGAAACCTTCTCAGGAAATTAAAAAAGATTTTTTTTACAGAAACCTCCCCTGGAGTGTTCTAATCAACTCCCCAAAGTTTGATGGTGATCGGAAGAACGGTATCAAACTGTAAAAGACTTTTATTTTTATATACCATATATAGAAAAATATAATAGCGCTGCTTCCTGCCAGGCTATTATACCTGCAAATTTGAAAAAAAAATTCTGCAGAAACCTCCTCAGGAGTATTCTCAACAACTTCCGATAGGTTTATCATGGTGACCATATGAAAGGCTTAGTAATAGCAATGCATAAAAAGCAGACACACACACACATACACATATATACATACATATATATATATACATACATATATATATACATACATATATATATATATACATACATATATACATACATATATATATATACATATATACATACAGATATACATATTGATGTACATATAGATATACATGTAGATATATATATATATAAATATAGACATGCACATATACATACACATATGCATACACATATAGATACACTACACAAAAATAGACATATACACATACATATACACACATACATATACACATACATATATATATACACATACATATATACACATACATAGACATACACACGCACATGCCTACACACAGACCCATATATATATATATATATATATATATATATATATATATATATAAAACATTTGCTTAAAAATTAACACTTATTTAGAAATGATAAATACTGAGTTTTCTAAATTTCTAGACATAAATTTAAGTTTAAGTACAAAAATTAAAACTATAAGCTCATTGCACAATGATGAGTTAATGTTTTTTTACTATATGCATATCTATTATCTATCACAAAGGTTGAGGCACATTTAATTATAAAAAAAATTTTCACAGTGCAATTAAAATTTAGATGTTTATAAAATCCTGACTGTTTGGATTTTATACTGATTTGTTTGAGTGGATGTACTTGACGTTTTAGTATATTCAATAATTAAACAACTTTTTTAAAAAAAAGGCAAAAGGAATTTTTGAGTCAAAATATAAAAAAAAAAAAATTCAATCTATGTCAACAATACGATGGAAGGATTCTTGTCAACTCTGTAGCCTCTGTTGTATTATGTTCCGGAGTCTATAGTATAAGCACTAACTTTGACAATATTTTAAGCTGTTAACTGCCAAGAAGTAAAGGATGGAATAAAAGCTAATAACGACCAATCCCCAGAAGACCAGGTGTAAAAACGTTAAAAATTTGCCATGTGAAAAAAGCAACAAGACTACAAGGCAAATAAATTCTAGCAATAGCAATTCTTAAATTTAGGTTCTTCTTGGAGAATATTGATGAAACAGCCTTTCCAATGCATCTTATATATCATTGTAAAATGTGTACCTACAGTAAAATAATTACACCACATGCGAATAATTGAAAAAAACTTTAAATATGAGGCTATGCATCATTAATTATTATATTTTGCTACTTAAGCATGACCCTTAAATAAGAAGGATCAAACACAAACTCAGAGTCATGGCGTGTTCACATAAGCTTAGGCATTAGCAACTGCTATGAGAGAATAGTTTTTCTTTGATAAACTAAAACCATAAACTTACCTAAGTTTTTGTTTTTCTTTTTCTTCTTTGAGTCGTGCCTCAATTAACTTTTCAGTTAATAAACTCTTATCCTCAAGTTTTTTGGTAACTTTGCTTTTCTGCTGTTGTTCTTCACGAAGTTTTATTTCCCTAGCCTCTGCAACTTTACGTTCCTTCTCTTCTCTAGCCCTAAATTTTAAAAAAATGTGCTACGGGTGAATTTGTTGGATGCTTATGGAGACAAAATGGCTAAGAGGCTAAAATGTGGTATATTGATTGATTGCTATTGTCAAATAAAATCATCAATTCAATTGTGAAAGATTTTTGCTAACTGTTCTTTAATAAATGGCAATTAGATTTTATATGACAGTGGATGAAAAAAGCTATTATATGTAATTTATGTATTACTTCGACATATTTATTATTTCAATAAACTAATACGTATCTGAATTAAACTGTTCGTTGTAGGCTGGTTAAATCTCTTCCTAAGTATTCATCTATATACTACTAAAACTCAAGTTTGTTTACATGTTTGAGTATTTTTTTGTTTGTCTGATTTGGTACTGTAAGGAAACTGCTCTATATGGGGGGCTGTAAAATAGTATGTAGGTAGAGAACAATTTTTGATTGCAGACAGACTGTTAATTACACATTTATTTAAAGACGTTAATTAATGTATTGATTTATTCATAGGTAGATTAACCACATTAATTTTAAAATTTTAGAACAATGGCTTAACTTTGACTGAATAGTGATGTTTGATAACTCATTTTTTTGTTTGTTTATTTTTTTTTAATTTGTTATTGGGGAGAATCTGCATTATGTGTAGAGCTGTAAAATAGGATTTTGGGTGGTAAATATTGTTCTTTCTTAAACACACTGTTAATTACAAACTAATTTAAAGCCGTTAATTAATTTATTGATATATTCATTGGTAGATTAACCACATTAATTATAAAAGTTTAGAACAATGACTTTACTAATAGTAAAAAAGAATTATTTTCTTTTTACAACAATGTTTTCAATTATTTTTTTCTTAAGGCCTAGATGTGAATGATAAAGTTGACTATCAGGACCTCGTAGGGCACAAGGCAGGTGAAGTAGAGTTCACCTGTTTCTATGTTCTCAGCATATGAAGGGATAGTGTGGTCAGAGCCATGCTCGGCCGGAATCGTTTTTTTTCTCAATACAAACATGTCTGAGACTTGTCGGGACACTGGGCAGGTTAAGTAGAGTTTTTATAATATAAAAAACATCTTTTTGAATGTGGGGTCTGGTTATTTTGGGATAATAAGTGCTGACAGAAGTGATGTTATTTATGGATGACCCCCCCAAAACCCACAATTATCTAACTAGATAACTGGTAGTCTAGTATGATTTAATAATAAAGAAATAAATATTGAACTCAAACTTACTCTATTGACCACTCCGCAGCCTGTCATTCATGCCAGAATAGTACTATATTAGGTTAACAGAAAGATGCGCAACGGAAAAAGCGAAAAAAAAAAGCACACAGAGAAAAATGTGCAAACAGAAATTTACACACAGAAAAATTAGTAAAAAATAAATAAATTTGCCACCACAGAAAACTACAGTCGCTCACTGTTATAACTGGGTTCTAATGTGTACTACAGTTATGCAGTGAGAGGGTAGAACTACTTGATCCAATATTATATTCTGATACCACAACCATTTCATTATGTCTAGCCATGCAATAGTGTATCTTGAGACACAACAACATCAACGCATACAAATATACAAATGATTTGACAGAATGACATTGTTTACTAGTTCTATTTATTGCACTATAAGAAATAGACATCGGACGACTTGAACAAACGATACTAAGACTGGACAACCTAAGGGGTCATCCATTTATGACGTCCACACGCGGGGGGTGTGGACGTCATAAATGGATGACCCCTAACCCTAACATAATACGAACAAGACTAATTGAAGCTTCTTCCCCGGCAGCAACGAACTCACACTAAAACATCACTTTCCTGCGTACCGCGTCACACTTTCACTCGTTCAATAATAAAGCTTCGAACCAGGATTCATGCGCACCAATTTGTCTAGTCAAACATACATCATAACACTCACAAATGAGAATTATGACAATGAGAGAGAGAGACAGAGAGAGATGGGTCAAATGTGTAGGTGTAAGTGTGGGCGCACTCGAGCAAACCACATTTGGTTATATTTGTGATTACACAGCCCTGGTTAACAAAGTGCCGGTGGTCAAATCACCTATGGTCAACGGCATCTATGTACGTATGATCAGAAATTATTAGCAATTTATGTTTCTATGTATTTTAGAAAGCGCGGTGGCATTTGTTATTTTAAATTAAAATATTCAGCAATAAGTATGAAATATGTGTCTATGTATATACACATACACAAACCAACTTAAACATGCAAGCATAAACACTCATAATTGCAGAAAGATCTGTGTGTCATTTTCTGTGGGTGTAATTTTATTTTACGCATTTTTCTAAGTGCGCATTTTTTTCGTTGCACATTTTTCTTTCTGGTCACCACTTTATTAATCATTATTTAAGTTCTTTTAGCATTTTTGGTCACATTCTGTCTCAACTCGTTTGTCACTGTACATGTTGCAATAAATGAAAGCACTTACCTTTTCAGTTCTTCTAATTTAAGGCGTTTTAACTCTGCATTTAATTTTAATCTTGCTTGTATTGTGTTATCTTTTTCAAGAAGTTTTAGTTTTTTTTGTTCCTGAATTACCTTGAATGTTGAACATCATTTTTTTAAATTTTATAACACATGAAAAGTAATAAAGTAGCATCACATAAAAAAAATGAAAATAGCAGCAACAAACATTTTAAAACCGAAGAAGATGTAGGTTATTTTACTACCAAAAAGTAATCAACTCTAAATTACGATACTAAAAATATATAGAAAGGAGCTAGTAGAATTGAGAGAGCCTGAAAACAATTGTTTACATAGGGAGCAGGTGTGGGTGGTTAAGGTTGTAAAAATGAAGTTCCCTTTTCACAACTGGCAGTTCATGGGGCAAGTAGAGTTTAAAAAGCTTATATTACTTACCTCTTTATTTATTATTGTGCTTTGTGTGTTTCTCTTCAAAAATGATGAAGCTGAACCATTAATTGCAAAACCTGAATTAGGATTGTGCACATGAAAACTATACATTGCACAATTATTACTTTTAGCACCAGATGCTTTGCTCATGATTCCTGATATCTTTTTTTCACTTTTATACTTCAAAAGTTTTGGACTCTGAAAAAAAAAATGCTATATAAGACTATAAGAAGACTCTTAACAAATAAAATAACTGGAAAAGGAAAAACAAAAGTATGGCCTATGCTGGACTGGGATTTGAAAAAGGCAAAGAAGATTCTACTTTTAATAATATTAAATTAATAACTGATAATCAATAATAACCCCTATATATAAATGGCTGTTACTCAGTCATGTTATTTGATTGATTTAGAGTAACCGCTCCGTATAGAGAGTTAAAATCATACAAGTGTCTAGGAAACCAAGTAAGTTTTCACACTTCTTTTAATCATTATATTTTTTCATTATTAATTTCTACTTTTTAAAATACTACACTGGTTGTCAATTATAAATGTGCTAATATTACTAATATATTTTAATGAGCTACCATGTTGTGAAAATTACAATGTAGATTTTCAATTTCTGGAATACAGAAAAGAACAAAAAAAATTTCTGGAGTTTTGATTAATTTTTATTTCACGAATTTGCAGGGTTTGTAGGCCTACAGCTTTTTGAAAATGAAATTCCAGATTTGTTTAGATATATTATACACAGCTTTTAAACTTACAATGTGTATACTAGACTTGACCTACTGAAATTAACTCAAATGTATACAGGGCCAAGTTTTTGTTTCGCTTGTTGAGCGAAAACATAGGACATGTTCTGAATTTTCAGATGAGTGTGCATGTGTTAATGTGTGGTAAGCACATCCTAATTCCAGCTCAGCTGATTCCAAAATTAACTGATCTTCAATTTTTGAGCACACAAATTCAAAATAGTTAAATTATCTAATCCCTACTAAAGAAATAAAAAATTTTAATAGTTACTTAATTTTACCTTAGTTAAACCCCAAACATGATTTAACAAAAAAGTGGGATGTCTAAGGGAACTACAATTTTGCATTAAAACTAGTTTAGGTTGTAATTAAAGAAATAATTATAAAAATATAATTTAACCCAATTTATTGTTGCAAGTTATTCTTCAATTTCCTTTTACCCATATTTTGTTTAAAGCGTATCCACATATTTTCAGTTTCCATTTGATAGAGGAATAAATGTATAGCCGTATCAGAATGTGCTCATGGGATCACACTTGTACTGACTATAAAATCAGGCAGATAAGTGCTAGGCTAATTATTTAGGTTTAAAATGAGACATAATTAACATAAAGAAACAATAAAAATGAGGGCCATGAGCCCTACTCTAAAATCTAGATCTACTTTTATTCTTAATAATAGACTAAGTATAGTTATAACTCGATCTCAATATTTTTAATGAACTTGGCAGACGCAAATTTTTTAAGCTATTGGGTGCATCCGCAGACAAATATTTAGCCCTATTCATTCAAATCCTACAAGCTGTTTCTGAAGGATATAAAAGAGGTAAGAAGCTGTAAAAGTTGTAAATCACTATGACATTAAAAAACATTGTAACAATACATTCTTCAACACCTAACTAATGAATGTTTTAATTCTTAACTTTTTAATTTGGAAATTGGAGAAGGTACATCACAAAACTAAACGCATCTTAGTTACTAAGTATCATCAAGTGACATTATGCCGAGGAAATGACTACCATGGCATTGGGGAGCGATTGGGGAGCGAAATTGGAAATTGCGTAAAAGACAACTTCCAGTCAACGAAAATTTTAGAGTAAGCAGAGGATTAGAGCTTTTACTTTGATGTGAAATTTCATTCATATATCTGAAACAGTTATAAAGTTATAGGCTTTTGAAACATTGAAAGTAGAATAAGCTCCACTTCCGTTTTCCGAAAATCGCTGAAAAGTTGATACAGAACTACAAATTTGATATAATACATGTATATAAATTTTCATCAGCCTAGCTGTAACGGTACTCAAGTTATCGTGTTTACAGACATACATGCACTGAGACATATGGACAGAATTGCAAAGCCCAGTTTCCCCCACTAGATTACGAGAAGAACAGCAACATTTTTATAAATCTTCATTTATAATTTTTGCTCAATTAAAATAAGTCCCCTATACTCCGTATATATGATTACTAAGATGTAAAATGATCAAATTCTGTCAAAATTTCATGTGATTCTTGTGCACAATTATAATACTTCCTTTGTACGAGAAAGTAATAAAAACAAAACATACAAAATAACTTGATCGAGACAACAGCTAACTAAGCCGGCAGATTTTACCCACCGTGTATTTGAATGGGGAGAAATCTAGCAGATGACATATTTTTGCTGAACAGTGGCAAACGGTCAATCGCATCACAATAACACTCCATAAAAACTAACCCACTGTATCACTGAGTTTCAGTCAAATCATCTTAGCCATTTAAAAACATACACGTTTTTTTCACAAATCATTTTCTAGGCTACCGATTAAATTTGATAAATAAAATTTATATCAGATTAAAGGTAAGTAAATGTGGTTTTTAATTGTTTAACTCATATTGAACAATAAAGTTGTTTAAAATCTTAGGCTACACCCTATGCATAGTTAACATTCCTTTGGGGATTAGTAATTGCAAATTAGATAGTAGAGATATTATTTTATTAAAATAACTAACTAGAAAAAATTAAAATATTACAATATTTCAATATTGATGAGATTTAGTCAGAATTTGTTTTGCTATTCTTATTGTTTAGTCTTTACCAGCCATTTACAGCCATTATATAATTTAAATGTTAAAGCAGATGATTGTTTACAAAATGTTTTAATTTAACCCTTTATTTACAGAATTAGGTTTTGAATGAAATTTTTTCTTAATGTGTTATCATATTGCTTTTCGCACACTAAAGCATACGTTAAAGGAAATTTCGTTTCATAAATTTTTGATGGCCCAAACATATATTGATACTTATAAGTACCGTCAGGAATGTAGGACATTTTTTCCAAAAATAAATTAATAACATGGCAATCATTATAACAAACATTTTTTTTGTAATTTTCACACATAAATATAGCACATAAGTATATTTTGAGTACAATTTTTACTGGATTTTCTATCGGAACACATCTAAGACCTCAATGTTTTAATTTAACCCTTTATTTACAGAATTAGGTTTTGAATGAAATTTTTTCTTAATGTGTTATCATATTGCTTTTCGCACACTAAAGCATACGTTAAAGGAAATTTCGTTTCATAAATTTTTGATGGCCCAAACATATATTGATACTTATAAGTACCGTCAGGAATGTAGGACATTTTTTCCAAAAATAAATTAATAACATGGCAATCATTATAACAAACATTTTTTTTGTAATTTTCACACATAAATATAGCACATAAGTATATTTTGAGTACAATTTTTACTGGATTTTCTATCGGAACACATCTAAGACCTCAAAAACAGCAAAAATTGCCGACATTCTTGTCTGTGGTCTTTCTGGTGTAGCAAGGGTTGCCGGACTGAACATACTTTGCTGGAAGCTTCCAATAGCTATTACAATCAGCCGTATAAACAAACAAAAGCCTAGTCATTCAGTACACAACTACTAGTAATACTAGTATAATTGTAGTCTACTAGAATGTTATGACAAGTCTACACTACAGTGTAAAGTTCATAAATAGAATTGAGCTCAATGTGTTTAGGATAGCCGTAGTGGCCTACTGTTTTCTGTTTACTGATTAAAAATTACCATATAGATCTATACTATATGCAGAAGTATAAACTATTACTAGTCTACAGGTATACATTACGCAAATGCTTGTTATTGTAGGCTAGACAGTTTATTGCAGTAAATATAACTAAGAAATTAAATCTTACTACTAGAACTAGACTTTGTTATACAAATGAAGTATACTAAACCTAGTAAACGAGCCTGCAACTGCTACCTTTATTCTTGTTATTCTTTTACTACTAGAAATCAACATGTAATTACAATATTTCTCAAGTAAACTATATGCTAACCATCTTATAAATATGTAATGTAAATATTTTTCTAGTACATTTTGATAGTTATTAAAATACTATAAATTTATGTCACTACACATCGAAAATCTGCCATTTCCTAGAAATCCTAACAAAATGTCAGTGTGCCCTGACGGTACTTATAAGTCCACTTGTAAACATCGATCTAATACCAATACAATTTGATTTAAATTGTATAACTAGAAGTTAAACGCATTTGCCTGACTATTGAAGGTGCCAATAAAAAATATTTGGGGTTGAAAACTTGAAAAATAAGGTAAAACAAAGGGAATTCAGGAACGTGTGTAAGATAAAGAGCTGTACAGAACAATTGTGAACTACCAATACAGCAAGACATTGAAAATAGCACCACACCAGAAATTTTCAAAAAAAAAAAACAAAAAAAAAAAAAAAAACCATCGATTCCCCAATTACCGGCGACTCAAGGGAGATAATACTATTAATTACATCAATAATTTTTAAAATTCGTTTAAAATTAAAAATAATACAGACACTTAATTAAAGTGGAACTTATAAGTACCATCAGTAGATAAAGGGTTAAGATAAAAAGCATAACATTAGGTCATTAATCTATGCTCAAAACTATATTCTTTTTGACGCAATTCTAAACATTAACACAGCATCTGCCAATCCTCACGAACACAAAGATAAACTGATATCAGAGTGAAATAATTAAACTAAAAAACTTGTTTTACATAAGGTGATACAATTAACCCCTTAACGCAGACTGTAGCAAAAACCCGATATACCGATTTTGCGCTTAGCATATGCGCATAGGTACAACTATCCTACCGCTGCTGGTCGTTGTGTATTGGGTACATCCAGACGGTCATATCGGTGCCAATGGTCGCGTTGTCAAGTCGAAATTTATGACGTCACACCCTCTAGACTCACTTGCATCATAAATTTTTTGACTGTGAATTCAGCCTACTTACAATGATTATTATTACTAAATAGGTGGTCCATTTTTATTACAAAAAATACTAATAGCTATATTATTCACTCTTTTATGTAAGTGTGTGTGTAAACACGATAACTTGAGTACCGTTACTGCTAGGTTGATGAAATTTCATATATAAGCATTTTATCAAAATCATAGATCCGTATCAACTTTTGAGCGATTTCCGATAACTGGAGGTGGTACTTTTTCTAGTTTGAATTTTTCAAAAGCCTATAACTTGAGTACTATTTCAGATAGATAAATGTAAGATCTAATTCTCTACATTCTTTCAAATTTTGAGTAATTTCCGTTGAACGGAAGTAGTAATTTACACTATTTCAGATTTCTCAAAAATTCATAAAGTACTAATAATATTGGCTACTATTATGCACATCTTTATTTGGCGTTCACTTGGTGCACAATACTTTTTTCTACGAGATTCTATTTTATTTTTAAAAGTTTAAGTAATTAAAAATCATGTCTATATTCCACGTTGTCATCCCATGTAGTGTTATATAAGAATATTCGAGAAAGTTTAGGTGAGATTACTCCTGGTTTATTTGAAAATGTAATCTATCAGAAGTCTTAAACACATGTGTCTCCAGACTATATTAAGTTTTCATGAAATTTGTACAAACCATTTTTGAGTTATTTCCATTTAAAAATCGTCAATAAAATACAATATGGCCGCCGTCACCATGGCAACGGAGGATTTAAAAAATTTAAACAAATATTTTTATGCTTATCTCTTTGAGTGATAACTATTAGCCAAGTATTACATCTTTAGACTCGGAAATAAGGAAGTTGGTACTCACCACCCCCCTATGCCCTTAAGGGGTTAAAATATACAAAAATAAAAAAAAAAGAATAGTATAGTGTAAGCGTATATAGCTTTTTAGTCACAGAAAAACAATTGCAAAGTGTAACATTGATGTATACAAAAAAATAAAACAATGAAAAAATATAAAAAGAGTAACAGAATATTGCACACACACACAACATACTTTAAATAACTAAAAAAGAAATTTTAGAAGCGACCCCCACTTTTGTTTTTTTATGCTTAAAACACATAGAGGAACTATTGCAATCTTGCAAAAAATCATTGATTTTGTACACAATTCTAAGTTGGAAAAACTTAATTTTGCAATTTAGGTAGTATGTCTGTGTCTGCATGCGTGCGTGATGAATATGATAAGTTGAGTACTTTTACAGCAAGGTTGATGACATTTCATATAAAAGTATTATATCAAATTTTTAATTCTGTAATTCTGCACTATTAAACACAGATTATTTGCTGTTCATTTGGTGCGCAATTCTTTTTTCTACAAGATTTTTTTCTATTAAAAATGTATTTGAAAATGGACTTTTTTAAAATGTCTATCTAAGAATGTTGAAGAAAGTTTAGGGATATCAAGATTGCAACAGAATATAAAAATTGCTATTTCAGTCCATCAGTAAAATTTATATTTCTAAAATGTCGATTAACTTATATTGTTTAACAAAAGCAGAATCTTTATCAAATAGTTTTGCAAAGTTAGGCATTTTATGCTAGATATATTGTATAATAATACTTACTACTATGCCATGGGAACATGATCTTTTAGGATGAGGTGAAATCTCATTGTCTTCTGAAGTTCTTTTTTCTGAACTGAAAAATGGATTAGTTCAACAAAGATAAAAATTAACATCACATGTTGAAAATTTCAAAATTGAAAAACTCCATTTACATACAACTGTAGGTAAGATACAGTGATACAAAGCTTATAAAAAATGAAAAAAAAAAAGACTGTTTGGAATAACAAATTACTTTGTTTTAATCTAACACAACAAAATATATACATATATGTATGTATAAATATACTCATCTACTAGTATAAATGTGTGTGTAAATATATTTATGTATGCTTAAGGGGATATGCGTGGCAAAAAATCACATTTCTTGATTTTCGTCATGATGGGTTTCTTGCAATTTTTTATACTTTGTCTATTTTTGTATTAAGAATATAATAACTTTAAAGAGAAATTTTTTTTTAGATGTTTAAATTACCATTTTTATGACTCAATTAAAAATAATTTTTCCCAATCTCCATGAAAAGTTTTACATCCGTCATCATATTGTATTTGCATCATTGGAAAGCTGGATTTCTCCTTTATTTGATAATCTTAATTTCCATCATCTCGGAAACACCCAAAGCTTACAATCGGCTTTGCAGTTTACACAAATATGGTATTTTTGTGACCTACTTTTCGTTACTTTTGGCTGTTTTTCTCAGTTCAAAGGTTTTTAACACTATAAAGCCTACTACTTTTTTATTTATTAAACAATCGCCACCATATTTTCAGTAATTGTTCTTCATGCAAAAATACAATTTTTATCCCAAGGGAATTGTGATGGCTTTCATAGAAAAAAAGTGGTTAATTAACAAGCAAATTTTGAAACTTCTGTACACTAAAAATGGTATGATTTTTTAGACTGTAAAATTCTTACTAGTAGCTATTTCAAAAAGTTTTCGTGATAAAAGTTTTAATATATACTGAAATATAAGCAATTTAAATTTGATTGTTATAGGTGCATAAATAAAAAGGCCTTTGCATTTTTAAAAGTACCAAAAAATTCAAAATAGCGGAGGCTTTTTTTTGGTTTCTATGACAACCAAAATTGTTTTCGACCCTTTTTTTGCTGTTTAATACTTACCTTCACGTGATAAAAGTATTCAAAAGGCTTTAGATATTAAATTGTAAATAATAGGAAAAAATGCGCATATCCCCTTAAATGTATAGAATCAG